GGAGGGGTTCCTATCAAATGGGGCGCCTGGTATCTGATTCAGAGGTGACGACAATGTCTAAGCAGGGTGCTGTTTTCTGAGAAATATGCCATTAATTTTTTAGGGCATGACACAAGTGTGCTACAATTCAAGTGAAGGCTGCTTGCTCAGTCCTACCTATGGCCTTATAATTACAGCACAAGGCAGAACCTCCAGGTCTGAGGCTCTCCTCGTTTCACATATCTTCTCCACATTCAACAGAACAAGCTACTTTACATAAAAGATTCCAGGAGAACAACCCCAAATTGGTATGATCAAAACCGGCAGACACTTTAAGAATGATTAACGTGAATTACCCTATCTGTAAAATACAGGTAACCCAGCCTCTTTATTTCCTGACACAAGAGCAGATCTCACTAGCATTTGAGATGTCTTGGAAATCACAGGTGCTGATAGCATCAATAACAGCATGCTAGGAGATGCAATATTATTTCAATAATAATGACACTCATTTCAGACTCCTGCATTTTTCAGGTCATCAACCAAAAACATTAACAAAACACAGCCCTTCAGGATGAAAAATCTTTGCAATGTGATACAAGCTGTTTCATACAGTTTTCTTTCTCTGCTCCACCCTGTACAAAAGGCCTGCCAGCATTCTTCCAGCTATCAGGGAAATTATACATGTTCCTCCTTACATACAAGATTACATACAGGAATCAGGCCATTGGATAGAGCCTAGCAACACTCTTATGTTCTTAATATAACTGATTATTATTATTATATTATTATTTTAAGGTCTTGACTTACAGGCTTCTTCAACGATGCCAACACCAAAACCCCAGGGACCAACCACGCAGATCAGACCTGAACCTAAAAGAAACTAGTTCGAGTACCCAACAGCATGCCCAGCTACAAGAAATTCTCTCTTCTGCTCAGCCAGCAGAGGAAATGAACAAAATGCAATCCCAAGATCCTGTTCCACATCAAAGTACATTGGTGGAAGGCAAAATGAGCCCAGTGCTTCCTTCAGGAGAGAAGAGGGGAGAGGAGACAAACAGTTTTCAGTCAGCATCTCTAAGCATGAAGTGCCAGCATTGGCATGGAAGAGTTCTGCAGCAGCACTCTGCTTGGACAAAAGGCAGGATCTGTGCAAATTGGGCAAAGACTTGGGCAAGCAATCCCCTTTGCATGCAGAACACTCTGAGTTTCCGAGAGATACAAGAGAGCTTCCCAGCAAGAGCTTTCCATATTTTCTACCTTCACAATTTTGAAAAGTCAGAAGGAATTTTGCTTTGATTTTGAGTACAGATGTTAAGACCTGTGAACATTTCTCCCCTGGCTGTTCCGTTCCACCTGCTGGTTTTGTCTCATTATTCCCTCTTTCCTCTCCTTCCTCCAACTTAAGACCAACAGATAATTGCCGGGGTAGAGAAGGATTCTTTTGCTCCTCGTAACTGGAAAGCAAAAGAAAGCCTTTATCTTGTCTTTAAGGCAAAAACTGCCGTTGTTTTGTGTGCATATATGTCTGCATACTCAGACTTTCTTCTTTATTCCAACATTCAAGGCTAAAACCTACAGGAAAGGATAATAAGCTCAGTAAAATGGTGTGTTTCAAATTATAAAGTTACAAACAAAGGTGGTATCAACAGTGTGTGCTTCTGAGAACATACACGCAAGCCTGATCCGTCCATCATCTTTGGTCCATCAGCTTTAACCCAGAAAGTACACGGGCAGATCTTTGTTCAACAAAACACTCTAGCATGTGCCTAAAAAGAAGCACCTGCTGGCATACATGTCTGAATCAAGGAGGCAGATGAATGCTTAAATTCCTTGCCTTGAATTGATACCTTCTACTTGTGTGCTAGCAGATGATCACCTCCACCAACCGCAATGAAACCACCAGCGTGCACATAGAGACACAGCATTTGTGTGTTGTTTTGTTGTTGTTGTTGTTTGTTTGTTTTTTAACAGAGCAAATAGCAGTGTTAACATTTATAAACACACAAAGACAATTCTCATGGAAATGGGAGTTTGCTTTTCGCAATTGTTTGAGGAGAACTCAGGCTGCTTAAATGGATGATATGTTAATTTTGTGGCACAGTTGCTCAAGGGCGGACATGGTGAAGTCTCCCACAGCACAGTACTTTCAGCTTACAGTGGGTAGGGTTAAAATTTAATTGTTTGTTGCAGCCCTCAAAAAGACATTTCTCCAAAGTAAACGTGCTATGAAGTACATTTCTCCCTAATTATATTAGAAAAATCTTCAATCCATAAAGCACTCTTTCTGAGCTTTTATGGGCAGCTGCTGCTCTAATGCTGCAAGGAAGAGCCAGCAAGTTTGAAAACAAAACAGGCCACAAAGATTTAATTTCCTATAAAACAAGCTGTTTAAACTTTCTTTACTTACAGCAGTGCTCTGAAGATTTTAGAGATTTTTCAGGGCAACACTTGCAGTGAAAACTCCTTGTGTCCTAACCATTCAGGGGGCTCCACAAACACACCATCAGATTTATGCCTTTCCCTTTCAAAATAACCCCATGTACTCGTCTGCAAAATTAATTTAAATAAACATACAGAAGAAAGGAGCATGCCAGCTCAATTTTGGGAGGAGGGGGTGGTCCTTGGGGGAGCAAGTCACTAATATCTGCCATAAATCTGCCCACTCGCAGCCTTGGCTCACATACTAACATCTCTGTCTCTCTGACATGCTTCTCTCCCCACCTTTCAGTCTCCCCCTCGCCGCAGCCATGCCATAATGCATATAAGTTGGCTGTACAGCGTTGCTGATCAAAAACTGCTAGCAGTTAGACAACTTATTACAAAGACTACAAGGGAACTGTATTTATGAACGTGAAAATTAATCAATGCATAATAAGCAAGCACTGTGCATACAGTCTTTCTTTCCATATGCAGACAGCTCCGATTACCATGCAGGTTACACTGCCACGAGCAGCTGCTTCCACCACTCCACGGCACGAGCAAAGAGACAAGCTTATTGTAGTAAAACCTGCATTCATCTGCAAAACCGCCCAAATACTGCTGAACTGATTAATTGTGCAGGTAGAGGCTTTCAGAAGAAAATGCCATCGTTAGTGCCACAATGCCTCCGCTGTCAGGATTTTCCTTTTACGCTACTGTTTTCAGATGCTCAGCTATAAGGCGGCATCTGAGCTGTGAACCGGTAGGCTGGTTGGCTGGTTTGCATCTTAAGAAAGCATTTCATTTTAATAGTTTTATTTTTAATTTTTATTCAACTCTTTGAATTGAGGGAGATTAAAAGAGAAAGGAGAAATGGCATAAGAATGCAAAGTGGAGTATTTTCTCTCTTCTTAACCTGCCTTTTAACCAGAATCAGGTCATATTTACCTTCAAGAAACTCAGAAGTACCCAAATTAATAACATGATTGCACACTTCATGAAAATTGATCATCAAATAGCTTAAGCAAAAAGAGCTATCACCCTTTCCTGAGGCTCCTCACTGACACACAGAATCAAGCATGGATTTTAATATTCAGTCAGTAGGGATTCCCATTTCCCTGACAAGATACCTCCCCCTTAGTGACCATCCTCCATAGTAATCCCTCTCTGCTCAGATGGGAAAAGAGATGCTCTGCCCTAGAGAAGTGCTTCCCTGCTAACTCTCTGCAAAGCAGTTCAAGCCTGCAGTGACAGCATGAGAAGCTGAGTAACCAACGTGAATTTTCATCACACAGCATGATTACGTGCCCTCTCTGACCAAGAGGCTAATGTTTATTGCAGTCTTGCTACACCTGGGAACTGACCAGGAGATTGCAGAGCTCTGCAGATGGCTAGGAAGGTAGCGTCTGGAGGATGCTACCACATATATAAAAAAATATTAATACATTGTAATGGCCCACAAAGGGGATGACATGGTTTTATTCTGCCGATGTGGAGAGGATTAAGGGTTTCTGCTTGAAGCCACTTAAAACTCGAACAGGAGAATTACAGTAATTCCACTAAAACCATGCTGAATCCAAGGGACTGGATGATGTCACGTTGTTACCCTCACACTTATTTTGAAAAAGCAACCAGCATAACCCCACAAAAATGACTTCACGCAGCTAGGCAGGCAGGTCCGAGTTATAGAAGTGCCAAGGGGAGCGAGCTTATACAAGCCTTTTTCAGCAACTCAGAATCTAAACTTTTGACATGGAACAATTCTGAAGGGACCTCAAAAATATCCATTAGCATGTCAAATACAAATGAAATCTACACTTTCTTTTCTGCTGCTTACACTACTCCATTTTTAGGGCAAAGAGTCTTACAGCAAACAATAGCAACATACTCCATTAAAATCCTATACAGCTTTAGCCATTAGGTCACCACGCAAATACTGTTGCCGTGTCTTCAAATAGCAACGTTTTGCCTATGTAGATACTATTATTAATATCCTAAAACACTCCTTTATATTACTATTTAATTAATAGTAAAACGTACCAAGTAATTATTCATGTATAGTTATATTAAGAGAAACATACTGAATGTGATTAAATGTCAAGAGCTGTGACTTACAAATCCTTCCCACATCAATTCTTATGCCAAAAAATATCTGGAAAAATTCAGCAACAGTTAAAGTCATTCCAGAACAAGGATTCCTATAGGTTAGAATAATCTGTTCAGCTCTGGCTCTGGTTTTCTGTATAAGCAGAGCATCAAAGAAAGAAAGTGCATTTTGAGAAAGGCTTCATTTATATATTCACATAAAGAACAGTGATATTTAGGTATTTCAGAGGTAAAACTGAGACTCAGCGGGTATCAAGATAGCTGATTAGCAGAACTTATTGCAAATGTTATTTATATTGTGTGATCCTAGCCCACTCTGGTAAATCACAGTTTATCAATGACAGCTGTAATTCCGTGCACATACATAGAGACTAAGTACCTACATTTTCTCATGCAGAATACAAACAAACTGATGTGTACATACCAGATTAAAAAAACAAACAAACAACAACAACAAACTACAGCTAGCAAACAAAGAATATTAAATACTATACCTTTGAGTCATAATCTTATAGGCATCTGGCAGATAACAGCGGATATTCTCCATCTGAGCAGGATCAGAGTCACAGATTTTATCGTCAGTCCTCCCATAGTTGGCACTTTCAATCATGATAACATCTGTTCCCGGGCAGCGAAGCTCTATGGGGTAACTCTCACAGGACAGTTCCCTTCGGACCACAGCCATGGGGACCGGGGCACGGCTGAAAGCTGCAAGGATTAACACAGAAACATAGTAAACATTTACTATTCCACAATGAGACAAGGATTAAAAGCAGAATGATTTTAGCAGCAGTTTTTATCCATGTGCCACATACTGAGATCTACTTCAGTATCCTTCAGATAGGGCCTGCTGAAAAAAAGCCTGGAGAAACTGCTTCTCTACTCAGCTGCTTGATTTTCTCATCACTAAAACAGCAAATGATCCCTTTTGTAAAGGGCTGTAGAAATCCCCTATCTATAGAGGTAAATAGCAACTACAGTGTTATTACTTTTGCTCTCCATGTGAAAAGCTAGGTGACTATGATCTGTAAAATTATAGCCCTGTATTGTAGCTGATCAGCCAGGAGAAACTTTCCACCAGTGAGGCATCCAAGCACCGGGATCCCACCTGCTCAGTGTGACTGCATGTAATGACATCTGCATTGCCCCTAGTCCTTAGGAAACACATGCCTAATGCCTTTCACCACAGTCTGCAGTGTGCCAGTGGCGGGCCTGTGTGTTCTGGCAACCATCCTGAAGTTTGGGCCCTGAAGTGATATTTTTCATGGAAATGCCAGTATGTGTGAAACTCAGTGATTAAAGTTTCAGTCTCGGCTTTGCTTTGGATCTGTCTGAATGTTTGAGACTGCCACATACTTGTGAAGTTCATTCAAACAGCCTTCAGAAATCTTACTTGTTTTAAAAGAAATGTTGGCTACAGGTTGCTAATTAGAGAAGAAATATGCTTTGAGGTACCTTGAAAACAAAGCCCAAAGAATTAGCAAGCAAACTCGCATGACAAGAAGAAATAACACTTCCCATCTCCGCAGTCTCTTTGATCTGAAGATCACCAACATCCTAACATGAATACAAAAACCCACCAAATACCTATTGTGGAGTAGCTACATGTTGTTGCTCTTGTTTGAGCCATAGAAGGGTTATGTGGCTTCAGAAGATCTCACAGGAAACCCACAGTGACACTAGGAGCCAACTATTTGTTTTCCAGCCGAGTGTATTGGCCACAAACTGAAATAAAAGCCAACTATGCTTCCTAATTCCTTGAGGATAAAAAACCCACAAAGGTTTCCAGCTGTAGGGACTATATGCTATTTTGGCTTGATCCTGTACTACGCTTCTTCCAATCACAAAACTCTGCATCACATATAAGCCTGTATTTAATGGCCACAGAATAGTCAAGAGGAAGGCATAACCCTGACTGTAACAGACCCAGGTGCCATCCAACACTAAACATCCTCAAACAACTCAACTGCACCTCAACCCTATTACAAAAACTCCACAACACACTCCCAAAAGAAAAAATCCTTCCCATGCACAGCTGTCTTTTTCCATCAAACTTCCACATGGTGCACACACTCCATATTTCCTCATGGAAAAAGCGCACACTGATGTTCCTCTGTATACCCCTTAGCAGTATCAAGGCTGCCTCTGTCTGTCTGTCTGCAGGCAGCAATCCAACACATTACATTAACTTCTGTACAGCATTCTATTATTGTCAATCGTCTCATTTAGATACGCATTACAGGACAGAGAAACATTTCCATTTCTGTAAATTTGCAGGGATAACCCAGTGATGTGCTAGGGTTGTGGACTAACTGCCAAGCTCCTGAGACAGACATGCATTTATTCTTCAATAATAGCTTCTCCAATTACCATAGCTTTAGGGTTTGTATCCTGTAAGATCTGCTTCTTCCCTGCGATTAGACTAACAGTTTTGCCCTAGTCATACATCTGTTTTGCACCATACATCTGTTCAACGCAGTGAACTCTTCATGCAACCAGACTCTCTTGTTTCAGAAAGAGGGCAAGAGAACAAACACAAGCCCTCAGGATGCAATACCTCATCTTTGCCCTTATGTTCCCAAATAGCTATGAGATGCTCAGAAAAAGAATAGGACATGTAGGTATAGACAAGATTTGAACAAAGAAAAAAGCCCAACAAAAAGTCAGAGTTGGCAAAGCCCAGGAATTTTAGTCAGACATTCAAATAACACAATGAAGTTTCAGGTCTGCTGGAAAGGATCTGTTTGTAAAAACCTTTAGCAGCCCCCTGCTATGTGAAACATTGGGCTTGATGGCAGCGGGGAAAAGTTTTATTTTCCTCTATTAGCTTCAGTGTTCACAGGCCCATCGCTGACCAGAAAATTTCAGATGTGATGTTGGTTTTGGAAAGGGCTGCAGAGAGCTCATTTTTCGAGAGTCTTCTGTACTAAACCTGGCAGATTGGCAGTATAGGAGACAGGTGGTTTCTAGCAGTTTTTGGCAGAATGCTGAAGCCAAGTGCACTCCCTCCTACTGCCATGTGCTTAGATGACTCTCATCAATTGCCAAAAAAATGGCAAAATGAGGTCTATACAGTCAAGATTAGCTGTCTGGGGCTATGCTCTGGTCAGTTTCTTGGGTAATTTGGATACTTTTCTCCAGTAGAACAACTGTCATTTATACTTTATGCAAAAGAAAAGGTTGGAAAACAGCCGCTTGCTTCAATGTTTGGATTGTGGATGTGTCTACAGACTACAGTAACTGCAAAGATAGATGCTAAAAATGTTTTTACTTTTGCAGTTGTTGCTATACAAAACAAAACTCAAACCTCTGACCCATATGCTTCAGAAAATACATTTTTGCTGCGAATTCCTATGCATTTTTTCTATAACTGTTCTATATTATCAAGGCAGGTAAACACTGAACATGATGCCTGAGGAAAACCCCACTTAAAAGTCACAGAAATTAACTGTCTGGGAATTAACTTGTTCAAATCTGGTGTATTTGTCAACAGAAATCCTGTAAATACACAGCTAATCTTAATTCTCATGTTTCGTGGAAATAGGACATTACAAGTTGCAACTAGAAATATGGTTTTATTAAAATAGAAGTTTATCTGAGAATGAAGACAACATCCTAATCACACAGCAAGTCTATCAATAATGAAGATGCAGTACTTCAGGCTTCCAGTGGAGGATATTACAGTTAATATGAAAATACAGAGGTTAATAAATGCTGTTACATATGTTTCTGCGCCAGATGTGAGAGGATATTTTGCATATTCTATATGTACTTGAGACTTTATGGCATTGATCTACTGAAAAAGCACGAATAACAATCCCAAGTGAAGTATCTCACAGAATCACAGAATGGCCCAGGTTGCGAGGGACCTCAAGGATCATGAATCTCCAATCCCCTTGCCACAGGCAGAGCCACGAATCTCCACATTTAATACCAGACCAGGCTGCCCAGCACCCCCTCAACCTGGCCTTGTGACAAAAACAAAACAAAACAAAAAAACCCCTCTTGCATTCTATTTCCCATTACAGAACGCCTGAACTGATGATAACATTTCTGGATGTGATTCACTCTGTACTAGAATTCACCCTTTTGGTTCTCACAGTCATTCAGTCACTTGCCATCAGAAGGACAGCTTTCACTTACAGACACTTCACTGTGGTATCATGGAGTCAACAGTTATTTCTTGGACCTATGGCATAAAATAAGTGTGACACCCTGGACAAACTGTTTGGATCAAAAATTAGAAATAACTGAACAGTATAAAACATTATAATAGGAGAAAGCAATGGCGTGTGTTTTCCATCCTGCCACCCTCCATCAGTTGAGCTGCTCCTATCCTATCCTAATACCTCCAATAAACACTCCCAAAAGACATTAGAGGTTGGCTGTTTATCTCCTTCACGAACACATTTCGACACTGTACCCCTATACGATAATCTCACTTTATCATTTTTACTGGTTTTCCTGTGAGGAGTAAACTATTACTATTTTTTGCTTCTTGCTAAGAAATAAGATAGAGAAAAGCTCATCTGTGAAATACACAGCACAATTGTATTAGTTCATTAATACACTTCTCTCTCCTTTGAGCAGCTCCCTATCTTCGCAGTCTCTCACTGAGCTCCTTATTTAATCTCCTAAATAAGTGACCTAATTGTTGGCTGGAAATCAAGAAGAGCTGACGGCTGCCCACTACTTTGGAAAGCAGGTGCCTTTCTGCAGTATCCTATGTGCAGATATATATCTAAATAAGGGCAGCTGAACCTAAAAATTTTGAAAAACACTCTTTTTAACATTTAAACATGTGCCAACTCAATCTTTGCAAGCGTGGCCATTCACTGGAAAACTCCACTCCAGTGCTTATAAAAGGTAAAGTCAGATCAGAAGAAGAAACAGCCACAGAGAGCCACAGGATTTTATCTGGGCAATTTAGAACTTCTTTGTCTTTACTAATTTCATGAGCTTGAGAATTAAGTCATCAAAATCTTGTGCTTCTTTCACTCTTGCTTTTGACCTCAGAACATAATTGCCTCTTGTCATGCCTGCAGGGCATGGGCTTGCAGTTATCACTGTATGCTTAATCAAAATGCTGAAATAGCCTTTAAATTACCAGTCCCCTTGGCTGCCAGAGACTTGTTGAGCTTTGTTACATTTGGAAGCATGATGGTAGTAGGTGCACATTTAAAAGAAAACTTAGGTATTATATGCATTTTTCCCAAAGAAATGTTTTTCTGGCTCAGAATTTTCAGAGTGAAATTTAAGTGCATATTTAAGTGCTGCAAAACAAAAAGCTGTAAATGTAGAGATAATTATTTTTACAAGCACTGTGCAGGATTTGGTCTGCCTAGCAAAACACCTGACTTACTGCTCCCAAAGGCAAACACAGCATGCCAGGGGAAAAGGTTTCCTACTGGTTTGGAGAAATGCCTCTGTGTCTGTAATTTCACAGTACTTAATATTCCCACCATTCATCTTGATTCTGCAGAAATAAATACATATAAAACTACCTCTGGAATGTGTACAGACCGAACCCATTCAAGTCAATAGGCCTTATATGACTGTCACCCCCTAAAGAGAAGCACACTCTTAAGTGTTCTTCTAAATCAGGGTGCCACTTTTCCTATTAAGACATAAAGCAGCATTACTGCATTCATTTGCAGCATGCAAACACAGCTCACTATTTCTTCTCTTCCTTAATCCAAATTACATCT